CAGAAAGAGAGTGTTACCAACAGTGTCTTGAAACTGCAATAGACCCTCAGCCTTCAGTCAGCCCTTGATCCTAGGCACACATACAACCAGCATATTCAGGAAGTCCCTGGACTTGAACCAGGAAACTTTCATGTAAGATTGTCTTGCAGAGTGTCTGGTTTCCAGTCTTTGCCTTTTGATTGGTTTATTTAATTCATTCACATTTAATATTTTATTGATGTACACTTAATTCTTATTATTTATGAGTTTTATATTTGCAAATTCACCTACTTGCTAAAGTTGGCTTGTGGCACTTTCATGATTGTTAATAGACATGCACAGAGGGGTCAAAAATTCAAGTTGCCCAACACACATGTTCCCAGCTGAGGTTGAACAAGACAATGCTCTGTCTTCTTGTTTTAGCACCTAAACTGTAAATAATTACCTTTTTTTGTGGTCTACTTATTGCCACGTTTTTTCACATTCTTTTGCTTTTTATAATTGCCAAGTTCATCTTTGAAAATGACAACTCTTTATTTGTTTACGATCATTAATTAATTATTACACAAGAGATAGAGACAGAGAGAGATAGACACCCCAATTCAACAGGTTCTTCATGCTGTAATCCAACCTATCTTGACTGGTCCAGATCATGAGCATGTACGTGTGCCCAGCGTGCTCAGGAAGGTAGGGACATGGAAGAAAGCCCAGAACTTTCCCATGTAGGTGCAGTTCCATTGCCACTGTGCTACCACCTAAGTACTTTTCTTCCCGTAATTTTGTTGTTTAAAATAGTCCTTAAGCATAGTGATTAAGTGTTGTCTAATGTTGCTAAGTGCAAGAAGGCTGTGAAGTCTTGGGGAGAAAACACATGTATTAAATAAGTTTAATTTAGGCACAAGACTTAGTGCTATTGGGAGTTCAATGCAAATGAATAAACAATAAATATTAAACACACATAGAACAAAGTTAAGTATTGATCAGTTGAAAATGTGACCTGAGGTTCACAGGACTATAGCTCCGTTTTGCCCTAAGAGCAAAACGTTATTTGCAGTGACTTTATTTAACATAATTACCACTAGTAATGAGAATCAACTAGAGTTGGATTTATGTCTTCTGTTTTACTTTTTATTCCCTAAATGTCTCATGTTGCTTTTCAGTCATTATTCCTGTTTCTACTTTACTGCTTTCTTTTGCATTAAGTGAATATTTCTAAAGAAGTGTTTTGATTTCTTTAAAAAATTTTTATTACACTTTTTTAGTTTTTCCTTAGTGATTTGCTCTACAGTTTATCACGTACTTATTATAACTTATCAGAATCAACTTCAGATGTATGCTAACTTAATTCTAGTGAGATTTGAAAATATTATTACTATATAACTCTATTCATCTGTTCTTTTTGTGGTCTTGTCATTATAAATATCATATCTACAAAAATTAAAGACCTAATGATACGTTGTTATAGTGATTACTTCCTATAATGTTAAGACTTTTTTATTGCTAGCCGTCATGAGCACTCACAAAGACAGAGAAAGCAGCCACCAATATGGTGTGGTCCCAATACTTTTTCTACATTTCTCCATCCCATTAGGATTGTGCCTGGTGTGTTTTTCAAGACACCAGGGCTAGGGTTTAAACTCAAGTCAGTCATGCAGGGTCTGGCTCCCAGTGCAGAGTGTTGTGCTACAGTGTCAGCCTTATCATTTTTAATTTTAAATAAGCTTAGAGAAGAAAGAAGAGCAACTACATATTTCTAGCATTTGTTACATTAACCTTCTTTTTATTATTTCTGAGTTTCTTCATTTTTCCTGTGGACTCAAATTACATGTGAAATAGTTTCCTTTACCCAGTACAGCTCTGTGCCTGTGTACCATCTTAGTGCTGTTATTGGCAATTTTTTTTATATGATTACTTTTTTTAAGAGTGATTTTTGCTGTATGGTACATGCACTCACCAGAGAGACAGAGAGAGACAGAGAGACAGAAAGTGAGAAATCACCCCCCAGGGGAATGGCCATGCCACAATCCCTTCTCCTCCATTCTCCTTTTAGGATTTTGGGGATGAATGCACACGTGCCCAGTGTGAGTTTTAAACTGCCAAGTCTGGGACTTGAATTGCGGTCAACTACATGGGAATCCAGTCATGTCATCATTACATTATCTGCTGGTCCCTATAATGACTTTTTTAATTAGTTAAGGGGAGTAAGAAGAAAATATGCAATTGTATTGTCTCTTAATAATTAATCTTATTGTTGCTTTTTGTTTTTTCATATAGATTGGATTTTCTGTCTGGGTTCACTTACTTTCCATTGGAAGAACCCCCTGTAGTGTGTATCAAAAAGCAGCAGAGTCCTTCAGTTTTTACTTATTGCATCATCAGAAAAGTCATGACATATTTTTCTATGCAAAAATGCATCATGACTTTGCCAATGACCCAATATTTGGAAATGCCTTTATTTTGCCTTCTATTTTCAAAGATAGCTTTGTTGGGTATAGAATTCTCAACTGACAATTTTTTTTCCTTTGAACGCCTTGAATATACCATTCTACTGTCTCTGGCCGAAACTGTTTCCAATGAAAAATCAGCTGTTAATCTTTTGGGATTCTCTTATGAGTAACTTGTCACTTTTGCCTTGCAGCTTCCAAGATTTTCTCTTTCTTTTTGACTTTCAATATTTTTCTTGAGATACGTCTATTAGTGGATCTTTCATGTGTATGCTACTTAGAGTTTACTGAGCTTCCTAGATGTGTAGATGAATTTTTTTTCCAGTACATTTGGATAGTTTTCAGCCTTTATTTCTTGAAATAAGTTTTGTCCATTGTGTTCTGACCTTGCCGGATGGTCCACCCTTTGGAGGTCAATGAGGCCCAAACCCTACAGATCACGGCACCAGAGGAGGACTCAGTTCAAGTCTGGGCTTCTTTGGGGGATCCCTGAAGCCCAGAGGGTCACAGGCTCCCACTCGTGCTGTTCCAGAGACTTGGCAGAGTACAGTGACAATTGAATGAGGCGACAAGGGGGACATGACCAGATCTTTGGGTTCTCTTTGGGCTGTGATACTGTGATCTGGGATTATACACAGCTGTGTAGGGATTTGTGAGGCAAGGCTCTAGGAATAACCAGACCTGCTATTTCTATGCCTGGTATGTACTACGATAATGTCCAGGAGAGGAGAGAAGAGTTACCACATCCTAATGATTTTCTAGGTTGTAAATAATAACATTCTTTTTTTTTTTTTTTGAGAGGTTTTCACTATAGGGTGCATGTGCTCGCCAGACAGACAGAGAGAGACAGAGAGACAGAAAGCGAGAAATCACCCCCCAGGGGGGATGGTCACGCCGCAATCCCTTCTCCTCCATTCTCCTCTTGGGATCTTGGGCATGCACGCACGCACACACACCCGGTGTGAGTTTTAAGCCACCGGGTCCAGGACGCGAACCGTGGTCGACTACGTGGGAGTCCAGGGACATAGCCATTACGCTAACTGCTGGTTCCTAAGAATAAGATTCTTGAGGGAGGGGACTTGCTATGATTTACATACAGACTATCTTAATCTGTTACTGTGTTGCTAACAGAAATATCTGAGACTGGGTGAATTATAAAAAAAATAGAGGTTTATTGGCTCACAATTTTGGTGACTGGAGTATCCAAAGGCATTACAAACAAAATTGCAAAGGCAGGACTTTAAATCGAGCCAAGTGTGTTCTGTATCTATGTGGCCTCTACCTGCCTTATTCTCTCTCCTTATAAAACCACCAAGACTCAATCAAGGGGCCCACCCTAATGACCTTATCACACTCAAAGGTTCCACATGGAATGCCACAAAGGGATTAAGTTTTCATTTAGCATCTTTACAATACAACCTGAAATTTGTAACACTGAACTTTTGGGAACATCCAATCACTACCCACTAAGACTAAATTCCAAAACATGAACCAAAACATGTCCCTTCTGGGGACAAATCATGATCTAAGCCATAACACGAGGGCTCCAGGAACTCCTGAGGGCCCTGTTGCAACTGACATAGTCTGTGCAGTAAGGAGGGGAAGGAAGTATGGATGTCGAGCTTGCTATCGAAAGGGTCTACAGAAGTTGAAAAGAACTTGAAAAGAAACAAAAGGCATTTGCTCCTCCAGGCCTGCATCTGCCTCTCTGTCCCACTATAACCCACCACTCTGCCCAGGAAGATGTTTTTCCCATACTACCCCAGGGTGCACCCCAGCAGAAATGTGCTTATTCCCATCAATAGCCAACAGGTTAACCCAAGAACTGGGCCTGTAGCCAGGTGTCCCCTTGGCCTAAAAGCTCAGACTCAAGACCAGCAGTTGTCATAATGGCTATGTTGCTGGACTCTCATGTAGTTGACCATGGTTCAAGTCCCGGACCCGGTGGCTTAAACTCACGCTGGGCGCATGTGCATGCGTGCCCAAGATCCCGAGAGGAGAATGGAGGAGAAGGGATTGTGGTGTGGCCATCCTCCCTGGATGTGGGGGGTGATTTCTTGCTTTCTGTCTCTCTGTCTCTCTGTCTTTCTGGCAAGCGCACATGCCCTATAGCGAAAATCCTATAGCGAAAACCCCTATAGCGAAAAAAAAAAAGGAAAAAAATAAAAGAAATAAAGGCCCAGACTCTGCAGCTATCCCATCCTCTACTCTCCCAGGTGTGGAAATCTGTTTTAAGAAAAACCCTCCTGGGATTGTGTGGAAGCCTTCCCTTTCAGAATGCTGCCTGCTTGCTGTTCTTTGCCTCTGGAGTATACTTTGTGGCATCAATGCATTTCTACTGGTTTTGCTCCAGGGACAAACACAGGTCAGGGCTGTTCCACCTCCACAGACAATCATACCACGGAGCAGCAGCACAACCCAGCAATAACAAGGAAAGGAAAGGCTTCCCTAAGCCTGCTGCTGTGACAACACAAACAACACACAGAAGTATAAAGGCCCTGATGCCCAGAGCACCACATACACTCACTCATTCACACCATCCACCCAACTCACCTCCATCAGCTCCACAACCCCGAGATGGTTACCTCTGCCATGTCCGTCTGCTCCAGCACTTGCACTGGCTCCTCCTGGCAGGTGGATGATTGCCCAGAGAGCTACTGCGAGCCCCCCTGCTGTGCCCCCAGCTGCTGTGAGACCCTCTGCTGCACCCCCAGCTGCTGTACCCCGGCCTCTTGCTTGACTCTCACCTGCACCCCAGTGAGCTGTGTGTGCAGCCCCTGCTGCCAGGCAACCTGTGAGCCCAGCCCCTGCCAGTCAGTGTGCACCAGCTGCTGCACCCCCTCCTGCTGCCAGCAGTCTAGCTGCCAGCCAGCTTGCTGTTCCTCTCCCTGCCAGCAGGCCTGCTGTGTGCCTGTCTGCTGCAAGCCTGTCTGCTGTGAGCCCGTCTGCTGCAAGCCCGTGTGCTCTGTGCCCATCTGCTGCAAGCCTGTGTGCTGTGTGCCTGTCTGCTCCGGGGCTTCCTCTTCCTGCTGCCAGCAGTCTAGCTGCCAGCCAGCTTGCTGTTCCTCTCCCTGCCAGCAGGCCTGCTGTGTGCCTGTCTGCTGCAAGCCCATCTGCTGCAGACCCTCGTCCTGTGTGTCCCTGCTGTGCCGTCCTGTGTGCAGACCCACCTACTGTGTGTCCACTTGCTCCTGCTGTGCCCCTGCCTCCTGCTGCCAGCCCAACTGCTGCCGCCCAGCTTCCTGTGTGTCTCTGCTCTGCCACCCTGCCTGTGCCCGCCCGGCCTGCTGTGGTGTCTCCTCAGGATCCTGCTGCTGACTTGGCCCATCCTAACCTTCAGAGTTATTCCAGGGCCAACTCTGATGTCCTACTAGAATATCTGCAGCCCCAAACCCAGGCTGGGGTCTCTTTCTGCTCCAGAACCACCCTACCTCCATCCAACTGCAGGCAGTCCCCATTGCCTGACTGGCTCTCTATGCCAGCTCTAAGTTCCCTCCAGACCAGGTATCTTTCCTGCATTCTCCTCCCTCCTGGCTGGCAGGTGGATCCTTTGTCCTACTCCATGTGGATGACCTGTTTGTCAACAAATGGGCAAATCATGGGGGACGAGCTTGGATGTGGTATGGGAGAGGGGAGAAACTTTTAGGGTTCCTTGAGTTGCATCCAAGGAACCATACCATGGGGTAGTGCTGGCCATTCCTTGCCACTGTGCCTGGTGTCCTGTGTCATAGTCCCTGGCCAGCCTCCAGTGCAGGTACACTGCCCAGCTGGCAGACTCCGTGTGCTGCCTAGATGCTCTGTCCAGGCTCCAGTGCACTGCTCAGTGCCCCCTGGCCCTCTGCCCCAGATCCCTGCAGCTACACTGTCCTGTGTGTGCCCTGCTCCATGAGCTCTTGCATGCATCAGCCCAGCCTGTTCAGGACCTTAACCCCATTCCCGTCTGCTGTCCTGTCTGGCCTCCACTCATCATCTCTTATTAAGTACAATAAATACTTCTCATTCCTGGAAGGTAGTGTGAAGCTGCTCTTCTGTGTCTTTCCGTGTCTGAATATGTGCTTTCTGATCTGCATATGGAAATCCACACCTGCAATCTCCAGGATCCATTTCCATTTCTGTCATGTTGGCCAGCTTTTGTGCATGGTGCCCTGTATCTTTGTGTACTCAGTTACTGGGCTGGGTGCCACATGGTTTTCATTATTGGGGGAGTATTTGTGGACAGTTTCAAGGTCTCAAGTGAAGGAGCTGTGTTGGCCTTGCTAAGTGCAGGGTCCAAACCTGTGTCTTGTTCCTGGGGATACCCAGAAGTGTAGGTTGGGTTACAAATCAGGGCAAGGGAGGCTTATGAGGACTGATGTCTTCCTCCCTGGTGTGCTGAGTCCCAAGGCAACCAGCAGACCCTGGGTGGCTATAGGAAATGTCCTCATGAGTCACCCTCACTGAAGGTTATCCGTTTATAGGCTTCGGCTTCATAGAGGACCCATCTCCTCCACCATGAAGGGTGGGCTTTCAATTTGGGCACACATGCACGCACATGCATCTGGCATGATTTTCAAGCCAGGAGGTCTAGGACTTGAACTGCTTAGTTGACCATGTAGGATCCAGCACCTTAATCTCTATGCCACCTGCTGGCTCTGTTTTTCACATTTTAATAGCTGTGTTTTACTGTAATTGGTTTCCTCTGTCATTCTATTAGGTGTTTTACTTTATTCATTTAAAAACCTATAAAGGTTTCACAAAAAGGCCAGAGAGACCCATGCAAAAAGGCAGACCTCTGCCCTCAGTTTTGGCCTATAATTCTTTAATCCCCTCTCAGCTTCCTGGTGCCATTCAGATTTTCTCCCCACTGTTTTCAGTCATTCTCTGCAAGATGTTGATCCAGTAGTCTCACCACAGGTTCCAGAAAGGAGGCCCTTTACTGACTTGGTTTTCCAAAACTTCTTCCTGCATTGGTAGTATGGCTTCAGTTCTTTTTAAAGTTTACTCATTTTATTCATCATACAGAGCACCTGTGCATGAGAGAGAGGGGGAAGCACTGATAGGGTCCGGTCAGCCACCATTCCCTTTCCTCCAGCTGGTCAGAGCCTGGGCAGCCACATTCTCTTGGTGCATTTCAGGCTGACCAGATCCGAACCAAGGGCCAGCAACGTGATTTCCGGTACTGCAGCGCAGCCCCCATGGACTGTGCCACTGGCTGGGCTAATCCGTTCATTTCTGAGCAGGCCTCTTCTTTTAGCTGTAGTATCTTTTCATTTGTCCAAATGTTGTTCTATTCCTTCTTGCTTCCTGTGGCATATCTGTGTAAATCCGCCACTTTCCAAGTTCCTGTCCCAGGATCACTGACCTCTAGGAAGCAGGGGCATAGGTACTGTGGTATCATTTTCCTTTTTAAGTTCTAAACTCAGCCACAGGGGCAAGGGCAGAGACACAGCAGGAAATGCCACCTCTAGCCCTCCGTGTAGTGCCTGGGATGCAGCCTGGAGTCAGCCACCTGCCATGGGTTCAGCATGACCCCACACGTATGGAGCCAGCCTCCCTTGGGTGTCCCTGCTGGGTAGCCGGGCAGGCTGAGCTGGGAGGAGCTGGGAGGAGCTCTCCAGCCTGTGACCCAGGGCACCTGCTGCTCTTCACAGTAGGTTCCCCACTGCCTGCAGCCAGCCTGGCCTCAGCAAGTGACTGTGTCTCCCCATGGGGTGGGCTGCCGTAAATGGAACACGTTCCTGTGCTCAGGGAGTCCTACTCTGCTCAGGTCTCCTGGTATTCACAGGCAGGTGGGATGTGGCAGCTCAGCTGGGCAGGGCCCACATTTCTAAATAGGGCTGTCAGCTCGGGAAGATGGGAGAGTAAGTTCTGTGTGTGTCCTGCTGCCACTTTGCCTGCAGGTTGTCCTGTTTGTTCATTTAATTGTAACATAGTTGCCTTCCTCTTTTAATTTTTTAATTTTTTTATGAACCATTAAAGAAAAAGTGTGAACCCTTTTGAGACTTTTTTCATTTAATAGGAAACATTAGTGAAATTTACTTTTAAGTTGGCAACTTTGCCCCTCAACCTGCCATTTTGATTGAGTCCTCCTCATTTGATGTTTCTTCTGTTGCTCTTTGTCTATAAAATGTCTACCACAGTACGCTTTTTCTTTTTTCTTTTTCTAGTATCTGGGAAGACTTACATTCTGATTTTAGCTGTCTAGTGAATAGCTCGTAAGTTTCTCTTTTTTAAAATGATTGAAGTCAAGTAGAAAACAATATAATTTAAGGAATTCCTGCTTAAGGTAGAATTGATTTTGCATTCCTCAGTATCCACTGACACTTCCATCCCCACCCACCTATCTATCAGTCTTTTTTTTTTTTTTTTGAGAGAGAGTTTTTTTTTCTTTTTTTTGGTTATAGGGCGAGTGTGCTCGCCAGACAGAGAGACAGAAAGCAAGAAATCACTCCCCAGGGGGGATGGCCATGCCGCAATTCCTTCTCCTCCATTCTCCTCTCGGGATCTAGGACAAGCACGCACACACGCCCGGAGTGAGTTTTAAGCCACCGGGTCTAGGATGCGAACCGCAGTCAACTACATGGAGTCCAGCAACATAGCTTTTACGCTAACTGCTGATCCCAGTCTTTCTTTTTAAGATTTTTTTTCCATGAAGCATGTGCACTTGTGAAGAGATAGAGACAGAGATAAAGAGAAGGAAAGGGAGGGATCGCGTCCCACCCCCTGAAAGAATGGCCACACCACAATCCTTTCTCCTCTAGTCTTCTCCTCGGGATTTGGGCATGCTCACACATGCACTCAGCATGTTTTTCAAGCTGGCGGATCCAAGACTCAAACTGTGGTTGGCCATGTGGGAGTCCAACACATTAACCACCATGCTAAACGTTGCTCTCCCGTGTCTTTTTAGTAAAATCTAAGCCGATGCCAACCAGTAGAAATATAACCACATGTATAATTATACATACTATAATAGCACGTTTAAAATGTAAAAAGAAAAAAGTGAAGTACATTTAATAATATATTTTACTGGGACCAGCAGTTGGCACAATGGCTATGTCGCTGGACTCCCATGTAGTTGACCGTGGTTCGAGTCCCAGACCCGATGGCCTAAACTCACATGGGGCACATATCGTGCGTGCCCAAGATCCTGAGAGGAAAATGGAGGAGAAGGGATTGCGGCATGGCCATCCTCCCGCGGGGGGGGGTGTGTGATTTCTCAATTTCTGTCTCTCTGTCCCTGTCTTTCTAGTGAGCGCACGTGCCCTATAAGCAAAAACCTCTCCAAAATAATAATAATATATTTTACTTAATCCTATATATTCAAAATGTTATCATTCCAACATGTGGCACTAGCTCTTTTTAAGTGTTCAACAGCCACATGTGGTGAGTGGCTTTCATAAACAGCATGGAATAAAATATAGAAAGAATCTAGTCCTTGCTATAAAATTAGGAAGTCTTACACTATTCCTCTGGACATAGTAGAGTCACGGGTTGAGACTTGTATGGCACAATTGCCCACGCTCTTCAGATCATTTAGTTTGACCAAAATTAAATTAAATAAATTAACTGATCATATTGGTTACTCAGACTTTGGTGAGTGTCTTCCTTGTACCCATGCCACCTCTTTTATACCCCAACCTCTCTGTTCTTAAGCTCTTCTGTTTGTTGCTGGAACAGATCACTTTAGTCTTGGAGGCTTAGACAACAAGCATCTGTTTCTCTCAGTTCTGGGGCAGGAAGTCCATGATCAGGCAAGGTGCCACATGGCCAGTCAGGTCCACGTGAGGCTCTCTTTCTGGTTCAGACAGTGGCCTTCCTACTGTGTCTTTACATGGTAAAGACAGAAATGATCTCGCTAGTGTTCTTTTTTTTTAATAATTATTTATTTTGTTTTATTTATTATTAGTGTTATTATTTTTCACATGAGTCACCAGAGAAAGAGAGAGAGAGAAGGAGAGTGAGGAAGAAGCTGCCAGGTCTGTGACTTGAACCATAGTCAGCCATGTGAGAAGTCCAGCAGCTCAACCACCACATCACCTGCCGGCCCAGTGCTTCTTCTTTTAATGGTGCTAATTCCATTCATGAAGGCTCTAACCTTCTAATGTAATCACCTCCCAAAGTCCACGCATCTATTTTTATTTTTATTTTTAAAATTTTGCTACAGGTTGCATGTCCTCACTGGAGAGGGAACCTGCAAAAACACCACCCAGGAGGAATCCCACGTCACAATCCCTTGTCCTCCATTTTCCTCTTGGGATTATAGGCATGCATACACATACACCTGGTGTATTTTTCAGGTGACTGGGTTTGGAACTCAAACCAGGTAGTCACCGATGTGTGATCCAGCTGCCTCAACCACTTGCCACCAACTGCACCGGGACCTGCCTCTTAATACCATCACACTAGGATTAGCGTCTCAACCTATATTTCAAGAGGACATGAACATTCTGTCCATAACAATCAGATAGTCATGTGTTGTATTTCCTTAAGTATGCTTTTAAGAGGGATACCAGAGCAGAATACTTCCTAAGCTCTTGTTATCTGAAAATATGTTGCTGTCTTTCTTTGAGAAAGATGTAAGGAACATTCGAAAAGAAAAGGAGTCAGCCTTAGTACGTGGTCTCTCTCCTGCAGAGACCGTGTGGGTGTCTCCCTGTTGTCTTTCACTGTTTAGTGGCCAGGGATGAGGTTGGTCTGATCCTGGTTCATTTCCAGATGGGTTCTTATTTCTTCCCACAGGGCAATAGGATTGCTTTTAAGTCGTCTAATTTTAAACCTTGTCCATACATGGCCAGGATGGGCATTAAAGACCTGATCTTGAACTGTGTTGAGTCCTTCCAGTCATATACACATATCGTTGTCCATTTAGTCAGAATAGTTCATCCTCAATTATTTCTTTGATTATTATTTTAATCCAGATTGTGTTTTCTTGCTTCTCCCAGGCAGCCTAATTATCATGTTTGGTCTTGGCTAATCATACTCCCTGTTTATTATCTTTCCTTCTCATCCTCTTTGTGGGTTTCATCCTTTACTTCTGTGTTTCAGAAGAACACTGGTGTTTGTCCTTAAAACCATTGAATTCATTCTCTGTGATGTTAATTTTGCTCTTCTCCTCCAATGTGACTTTGTAATCCAGCTGTTCAGTGTTAAATTACCTAGAACACTTCTTATCTTCTAGTTTCAACTTTTTTTTTTTTCTGGAATGTGGGTCCTGGTTAAGAGTGTAGATACTGGGGCTAGCAGGTGGTGTGATGGTTAAGGTGCTGGACTTCCACATGGCTGACCATGGTTCAAATCCTGGACCTGGTGGCTTGCTTTTTCACTTTCCCCTCTTTTTCTCTCTTTCTATCTCTTTCTCTCTCTCTGGTCAAATTTTAAAAATTAATAATGATGATAAATAAAATTAAATAATTCTTTTTAAAAAAAAGAGTATAAATGCTGTATATAGAGTGACTGGCTTGTCCCAGTTCTAGAGTGCGTGGCTTGCCCCATTTCTCCCACTGCCTACAGGGCAACCTTGAGCAGATTGCCTAGCCTCTGTGCTAAAGCTTCATCACTGAGTACATGTGAAAATTAAGTTAGTTAATAGACATGAAGTTTAGGGCCAGCAGGTGGTGTGGTGGTTAAGGCATTGGATCCCACATAGCTGACCATGGTTTGAGTCCCAGACCTGGCAGTTTTGAAAATGGCAGTGGGCACATGTGTATGCATGTGCCCCAAATCCCAAGAGGAGAACAGAGGAGAAGGGAATGTGTCATGGCCATCCTTTCTGGGAGATTTCTCACTTTCCCTCTCTCTGTCCCTATCTGTCTCTTTCTGGCAAGCACATACACACCCTGTGGCAATAACAACAGCAACAACAACAACAACAACAAAAACAAACTAAAGAGAAACCTAGGGAAAAATAAAGTTGTGAAGTGTTCAGAATACTGCCTGGCATAGAACACAAACTCAGGAAGTTATCTGACATCAACAACATCGTAAGGATTATTTTCTAATACCATGAAGGCTATCTCTAGAATCAATGGATCATGGTTCTCCGTTCCAGGTTTGCTGGGTTGTCCCTTCCTGTAGTCCACTAGGGACACACTGCTGTCTGCGTTTTCTTTGACCTCCTTCATTGCTCGCTTGCCCTCAGTCTTCAGCGTGAGGTTCTCTCTCACAGTGAACTAAGTGTTTATGGGTAACACCGTTGAGTGGTCAGAGGAGGTTGTTTGCCAACAGCCATGGAGCATGGATGTGCTGGAAGACTGCCTGGGTTTAGGTGGAATTTTGGTTAAACTAAATGATCTGAGGAGCGTGGGCAATTGTGCCATACAAGTCTCAACCCGTGACTCTACTATGTCCAGTCTGCAGGTGTGTTCTGTGTGTTCTTTGGGGAAGCTTTATAACTTTGCCCACCTCTCACCACTGCCTCTGAACATTCTTGTAGGTGTTTTGTAGTTTGGGCTGCAATAGTAATGTCTCCTCTCCCCATGTATTTTCATGTGGGCACGGCAAGTGCACAGGGAAGGGCTGCTGGCTGCTGTGAGTTCATCTCATAGCCCACTCCTCACTGATCGTGGCCTGTGATGGGTGACTCAGATCTTTGGGTGGGCAATTATGTCACCTGCAAGCAATGGAAATGCACACCTCTTTTCAGTTTCTTAGCTTGTTGCTTTGACTGGGTATCCAGGGCAATGATGGAAGGTTCCAGTGATGGCCCACCCCCCTGAAAAACTTCAAATGAGCTGTAGGGCTCTGAGCCACCATGAAGGCTGAGAGGACCCCTTCCTGTATAAGGATGCTGCACTTTTACCCACCTGCTGAGACAGGCTGGAAGGATGTGGGGTAATACTAGCAGTGACCATCAGAGCCTGGGCTCCAGGCACAAGCAGGGAGCCTGTAACCATCCCAGCCCGAGGGGCAGGGCTACTCTGTTCACCATCTTTCCCAGATTTTGCTGACAGCAAGTGCCCTCTAGCTTCTCTGCATGACCCTTGTACATCCCACTTTCTCTAGCCTGGAACTCTCCTCCCTAGTCCTAGGTGCTGAGCTAGGACCCACCTCTCCAGGACAACAGATCTTTGACCCTGGTTGGGGGAGAGGGGGTGATGGCTTAGGACTCCAAGATCAGCCCCTAGGAGTAATCATTCCAGTATACAGAACCTCCAGCGGGCCTTGCCAGAATGGTCTGCATCCTCAGGGCTGGTGAAGTCCTTCCTGTCCTCACTGTCTTTGGTCAATGTGGAGATCATGGGAGATCCCAGAGGTTATCCAGAAAGGATGTCCTCATGTTGTCTTTCCCTTTAAACAGGTACCTCCTTCCACATGACCCCAGTCCCAGGCTGGGCCAGGCCACCCCAGGTGAGAAGGCTGCAGACAAAAGCTAGTACACACAAGCCCATCCCCTGGAGCTAAGAACCAGCCCCCAAAAGCCTGGTCCGTGACCTGCAAGTGAGGGCACAGCTTGGCCAAGGGAACCCCGCAGGGGCTAGACTCAGCTGAGGGCAGCCAACCCTGGCCCAGCACATTGAGAGTTTTATGACCTGAGCAAAGACATCTTATGGCCATAGAGCCAACCCTAATGAGGGCCCTCCAAGTCCAAACACCAACAAGGAAGGGAAGGGAGTTATTGAGCCTCTGGCTAGGGCAAAACACACACCTGGATGGGTATAAAAGAGGCCAGAGCACCTCACACCCTCACTTACTCTTACATACACTCACTCACTCACTCACTCACCCCACCCCAGCTCAACCACCCACATGGCCACCTCCACCATGTCTCTCTGCTCCAGCAACCTGAGCTATGGGAGTCGGGTCTGCCAGCCTGGTTCATTTGAGTCCTGTACTAGCTCATCCTGGGAGATGGATGACTGCCCAGAGAGCTTCTGTGAGCCCCCCTGCTGTGCCCCTAGCTGCTGTGCCCCCAGCTGCTGTGCTCCAGTCCCCTGCCTGTCCCTTGTCTGCACCCCAGTGAGCTGTGTGTGCAGCCCCTGCTGCCAGGCAGCCTGTGAGTCCAACCCCTGCCAGTCAGTGTGCACCAGCTCCTGCACGCCCTCATGCTGCCAGCAGGCCAGCTGTGTGTCTGTCTGCTGCAAGCCTGTGTGCTGTGTCCCCATCTGCTCTGGGGCTTCTTCATGCTGCCAGCAGTCTAGCTGCCAGCCAGCTTGCTGCACCTTGTCGCCCTGCCAGGAGGCCTGCTGTGTGCCTGTCTGCTGCAAACCCGTGTGCTCTGTTCCTGTCTGCTCTGGGGCTCCCTCTTCATGCTGCCAGCAGTCTAGCTGCCAGCCAGCTTGCTGTTCCTCCCCCTGTCCACAGGCCTGCTGTGTGCCTGTCTGCTGCAAGCCTACCTGCTGCAGACCCTCATCCTGTGTGTCTCTGCTGTGCCGCCCTGTGTGCAGACCCTCCTGCTGTGCCCCCGCCTCCTCCTGCTGTGCCCCCACCTCCTGCTGCCAGCCTAGCTGCTGTCGTCCAGCCTCCTGTGTGTCCTTGCGCTGCCGCCCTGCCTGTGCCCGCCCTGCCTGCTGTGGTCTCTCCTCAGGCCAGAAGTCCTGCTGCTGACTAGGTCAACTCCCAGACCAGCTGGCTTAAGAGACCCTCACCCCACCAGTCCTGGAAGCCAATAGCCTTCTAGCACATGCTTCCCAGGTCCAACTCCACCCAAGAATGAGTAGTCTCCCAGCAGCAGCCAAACCGGACCTGAGATGCTCACTGGCCCCTTTGCTGACCTAGATCTGTGGGAACCCTGACACCCCCATGTGCATAGACTGGATCCAGACCACATCCCTCCCTGTCAGGCTGGGCCCTGACTGACTATGGCCTGGCCTCTTATACTATGGCTCTCCACTTCTGAACACCAATAAAACCCTGTGCTTGCTCCACACCGACCCTCCGTCCTGACTGTGGCACATCGTGAGGGGGAGATGGGCAGAGTGCAGTTGGCTCTGACTCTGGGGAGCCAGATCACTCAGATTCTCATTTTCTAGGCCTGCAGGTTTAAGAGGCTTTGCTCACTGGCCATGGCCTGGGGCCCTGCATAGATAGTAGCTGCACCCCAGGCACACTGGATGAATTGTCCATGGTGTGTGCAGCCACAGCCATGTTGAAAAGTGAAGACTTAAAGGGTTTCCTTGGGGCCTGTGTGGGCACCCTGACCCCCGCACACATTCACAGACCCCTGAATGCTAGTGCTCCAGGCAAGCTGCTGGGTGCAGAGTGCTCAGGTTACAGAGGCAGACCCAGAGCTGTGCCTGTTAGGCTGGGCAGGGAGGGCAGGGCAGTGGGACAGGAGGGATGGGTTTGGGGTAGCAGTGGTAAAGGGAGCCCATGACAGTGTGTCCCAACCAGAGGGCAGGAGACATGTTGATCAACCTGTCCAGATGTAGCCAGGTGTAGTTTCACTCAGGATCGAGGGCATCTGAGGATAGACCCTCACAGTCCAACTGCACTGAATGGACATTGGTGAGGGTGGTAGCTACCACACTACCAGAGTCCTGAGTCTTGACATCAGTGCACGGCCACAGCATCAGGGTGGGAAACCTGTGGTTGCCTTTGAGAGTGGGTGCAGGTCCTTGGTCTGTACTGTAACAGGTGGATGGGTGTTTAAGCCCCTCTCACACTTAATTAAGACAAATGACACCACTGTGAGCATCCTTTCAATACCTTGTGCACTAGTGTAAGTTTCTGAGTGGCTTAAATTCCTAAAGTGGGATTTGCAGGGAACAGCGTTTGCTAATTTTAAATTCTGAGGTATACAGTCAGATGCCCTCAAAAAGACTGTCCCAATTATGCCTGTTATGAGTGATGGTGGTGTAAATGATGATGCGGGAAATTCTGAGCCTCTACTCTTCCACAGAAACACTTAGTGAATGGACAAAAACGATAGGATTCATTTGGCCTAAACTCCATAAAATATGAGATCATTGGGAACGTCATGACTAATTTTTGCATAGAAAAACATGTCATGACTTTCTTGATGACCCAGTAGTCTAAGGTTTACAATAACCAAGGTAACAGTTAATCAAGAAAAACACCCCTGAAGGTCAGTAAGAGAGTCACCTATTCACCTTTGTCCACCCTTTCTTCCCCAGCTGGGCAGTGATCTTGGGGACAGCAACCGGGTTTGCTAGCATGCATTGGTGGTGGAGAGAAGAGTAGTTTGTTTCCTAAACAGTGTTGTTGTCTGTTCTGTCCTGTCTGGTGGCTGCCTGAAGGATGAACACAAAGGGCTTTCCTCTGTGTCACCAAACTCAGAACTGTCCCAAGACAGAGAAACAGCTACACAGGTAGTATTTCTCAGAACATTTCAAAGTGAATGAACTAGTCACTGTCACCTGAAGAAAAGGTATCTCTTTGGAAACCAATTGATATTCCCAAAAACTGGGGAATGAGATGCTTTGAAAAGTATCCATACATTCCTGGGAGCCTAGGATGCCTCCCAGATATGCCCACAACAGGGCACAAACTTGGAAAAGACCTGACAAGTTCTCAGGACTAACCTCTGGATGAACTCCAAGCTCTGAGCAAGCAAATAGCAGATGCACTCAGAGAGTGAAGGGAAAGCCAGAACTGTAAACTGCGTAACTGAGCATGAAGGGTGTGCCCCAGCACACAGAGCCCAGCTACAAAAATTGGGAAACGTATCTTTTGAATCCAGGAACTCTGCCAAATCACTATCTGAGCACTAAGCTAATGGAACAGTGATCACACATGACAAAGAATAGAATTGTTACTAAACTATTTCAGAAAAGTGACCAAAGAAAACAAGTACAGCTAGCAGGAAACAGCAACAGTAAACTGGGGTGCAAGGAGTATCTGATATCCAGAATTAGCACATTATTATATTCATTGTCTAGTTTTCAACAAAAACTGTGAGGCATACGAAGAAGTAAGAAATATGAGCTATTTGTGGGGGAAAACAATTGATAGGAAACGTCCCTTGTAGAAGCCCAGATATTGTACTTACGAGACTGAACATTTTTTCTTTTAAGTTTGCTTTATTTCTTATGAGAGAGAGGTTTCTTGACAGGTTCTTACCGTATTGCAGTCCTCTCCCACTCACAGCCTTTCAGCCAGCCAGCATTATAGGTACATACGGGAACACCCAGCATGTTCAGTTGAACCCAGGATCTGAGCCCAATCTTCCCACATAGCTCTGTGCTGTGGTGCCCTACTACTTGTGTGCCCATGGCTGGCTGGCTTACAAAGCTTTTAAGTGAACTCTCATAAACACGCTCAAGAGCAAAATAAAACAACAAAACAATGAGAAATCAGGAAAATGTGTCTCATCGAACACACAATAGCAATAAGGAGATAAAAATTTTATTAAGGAAGCAAATATAAATTCTGAAATTGAAAAGTACAATAACTGAAATGAATAATTTACTAGAGTTTTAACAGCAGACTTAAGCAGGAAGAATTAGTGAACATGAATATAGATATATTTGGATAGTATATTCTAAGGAACAGATTTTTTAAAAAGGAAAAAAAAACACCAATCTTTTTTTTTTTCTTCCTTTTTTGGAGAGGTTTTTGCTATAGAGCGTGTGCACTTGCCAGAAAGACAGAGAGAGAGAGAGAGAAAGCAAGAAATCCCCCCTCCCCAGGGGGGATGGACACACCGCAATCCCTTCTCCTCCATTCTCCTCTCGGGATCTTGGGCACGTATGCACATGCACCCGGCGTGAGTTTAAGCCACTGGGTCCAGGACTTGAACTGCGGTTGTATACATGGGATTCCAGCAACATAGCCATTACGCTAACTGCTAGTCCCCCAGAACCAATCTTAGGAGACCTATGGGACACCATTAAGTATACTACTATACACATAATGAGAGTTCCAGAAGGAGAAGAGAAAGAGGAAGAAGAAAAATATTTGAAGAAAACAATGGCCAAAGACTTCCCAAATTTGATGAAACACATGAACCTACCACATTTAAGAAATCAAGGAACTCTAAGTAGAATAAAGATTCATATGGAAATACATAATCAAACTGCAAAAAGTCAAAAATAAAGAATCTTGAAAGCAGCAAGAAAGATTAATAGCCAATTTATCATCAGAAACCATGGAGGCCAAATGGCAATGGATGACATATTTAAAATGCTGGAGGGAATGGTGGGAGCAGGATCACCTATCACCCAAGCAAGAGCCAACATCTGGTAAAATGATCTTTCAAAAACAAAGGAGAAAGAAATACATTTCCAGATAAGTACAAGCTCAGAGTATTCATTGTTAGTCTACCTGCCTTACAAGAAATGTTAATTCAGGCTGAAACAAATGGGCATTAGACAGCAACTTGAAGCTATATGAAGGAAAAGTGTCAGTTTGGACTTAAGTGTTTATAAAAATGTGTTCATTGTATCTTGGTTATCTAACTTATTGGTATACAAATATTCATAAAATAAACCTTTTCCAGTTTTAATTTATGATTTTTAGTAATTTGGTAATAGTGTAGATGAAAGTTTGTCAATTCTGTTGCTGTTTCCAAAGAACCAACTTTTAGCTCAATCGATTCTATTGCTTTTCTAAATCCTATGTCATTGATCTGTGTTCCATTCTTTATTTCCTTCCTTCTGCTAGATTTAGATTTAGTTTACTCTTCTTTTTCTAGTTCTTTAAGGTATAAAGTTAGATTTTAAATTTGAGATCCTTTTTCCATTTTAACAGCTATCAGCCTCCTTCTGAGTACTGCTCTGGCTGCATCTCACAAGTTATATGTGTGTGTGTGTGTGTGTTTCCTTCATCAAAGCACTTTATTACTTCTGTTTGAGTCATCCTTTGACCCATTGGTTGTTTGGGAGTTAAGGTTTAATTTACATGTATTTTTTACTTCCAGTTTTCCTTCTGTTATTGACCTCTAATGTCTTTCCATTGTGATCAGAGAGATCAGAGAAGATAGTTATATTTTAATCATTTAAATTATTGAGTCTAGTTTTGTGCCCTAATCTTGAGAATGATCCAGATATACTTGGGAAGAATGTGCATTCTGCTATCATTGAGTGTTGTGCATTTATCTGATAGGCCTAGTTGGTTTCTATGTTCTATTTTCTTATTGAACTTCAATATAGTTCTATTGGGTGCTTTTCTTTTTTCATTTTTTTTTCTTTTTAGTTAGAGAGAGTAGGTTATGGAAATCTACATTCAATGATTATTGAAAAACTAGAAATGTTTAATTCTGTCAATTTGTGATTCATCTATTTTCAGTGCCCAATGTTATATGTATGTATGTTTACAATTGTTATATCTTCTAAACTTCTGTCAACATACACCATTCTGTGGGCCCTGCCTCTGTCAATCAGTCTACACTAGAATCCACATATCTATAGTTTTCTTATTGCTCACCATCCCTGGCCACTCTCCTAGCCTGGGGCTGACTTCTCCCCAGTGATGCCTTCATGTCCCTAGGCCACATCTACAGTCCTCCTGAGCAGCACACAGCATTCTTTTGTTTCACTAGAAGCTAATTCTTCAGGTCCCTGCTTCTTTAGGTCTGGGAAATTATGCCGACCTCATAAAACAGGCTGAGAAATTTAAGACTGGTGTTATTTCCCTCCCAGTTGTTTGGGAGAATTTATTGGTGACAAGATTTAGGTTTGTAGTTTTCTTTATAGGAAGGCTTTTTGTTGTTAGAGATCAATTTTTGCTATAGGAAGTGTGTGCTCACCAGAGAGACAGAGAGACAGAAAGCAAGAAATCATCCTCACAGGGGATGGCCATGCCACAATTCTTTCTTCTCCATTCTCCACTTGAGATTTTGGGCACACACACACGCGCGCCCGCACACACACACACACATGCCCAGTGTGAGTTTCAAGCGACTGAGTTCGGGACTCCATCCGCGGTCGACTACATGGGAGTCCAGCAATGTAACCATTATGTTGTCTGCTGGTCTCAAGGCTTTTCATTTTAGACTCAATTGCTTTAATATAGACATTTTTTTTTTTTTTTTTTTTTTTACTTTGGTGTTGGTTCTGTCTTGAGAAATATATATAGTTATGTCACCACCATCACAATCAATACATAGACTCTTCCTGTCGTCTTGCCAAATTCCCCATTCCTATTGTAGTCAGTCCACGTCCTCATTCTAACCCTTGGAAAGCAAAGGGGGGAATATATGTATATATGTAAAAATATAATATATATGTAAAAATATTATATATATATATATACCTTTTTATTATTACCTTTTGTAAAATGTCATATATACAGACTCTCACAGTGTTTGATCCTTTGTCATATAATAAAAGATTTGAACAGATCCTTTGACAAGAAAGAGATATACATAGAAAATAATTGCATGAAAACATGCTCATCCACATGAATAACCAGGGAATTGCAAAATCAAATCCCAATGAATCGCCTTCATATACTTAGGTTGACTGAAGTAACAAACCTTACACAAAGGACTGGCAAGAATGTGGGCCTTTGCTGAAACGTTTGAGTTTAAAACTATCATCTTGTGTTGTTTTCTGTCCATGCTAAGTAATAAATTCCTTTTTACCTTCTTGCTTTAGTGTTTTGAGGACTGAGTATTTTCAGATTTTCATTTCTCCATCCTAAGATTGAGGAGGCTTCCATAGCAAATTAACAAAATAAGGGTGACTTAAGACAACAAACACTTATTCTCTCACAGTTCTGGAGGGTGGAGGTCCAATATTAATCTATCAGCAGGGCCTTGGTTTCTCTGGGCTCTAAGGGAGAATCTTTCCTTGCTCTCCTAGTTTCTGGAAGCTCCTAGTAAATGTTGGCATCTCTTGGCTTGTACTTGCCTCACTCCAAACTCTGCTTCTGTTGTCATATGGCCTTCTTTCCTTCGTGTCTGAATTTTCTTCTCCTTTCCTAGTCATCGTATTTAGTGTCCCTAAATACAAAATTCAGTCTGGCCTCATCTTAACTAATTATGTTTGAAAATAGCCTATTTCCAAATAAGGTCACATCATGAGGTTCTGGGTAGACATGAACTGTGGTGAGACACTATTCAACCCACTCGTCTACTTCCTACTTGGTTCTACATTCTTTTATTTTTCTCGTGGAGGTTACAACATGAATTTCTAACTTTTCTGAGTCAACTGTAAATTAGGTATTGGTGATTTCCTAGGCATTTCAGTGTGCTTAGACCTTGTCTTACTGCTGTGTCAACATCTAGCCCCTTCTCTTCCTATCTTTATCAATTTCCTTACTTCTATCTGTGATCATTTTCTTTTCTGCTTTACAACTCCTTTTAGTATTTTCTTCAGTACAGATCCTACCAGTGACATGTTCTCTTAGTGTCTCTTTGCCTGAGAACGTCATTATTCTGTCCTCCTTTTTGAGGATCTTCTCCATGGGTGTAGAATTCTAGCTTGGTGCTTATTTCGGTTAGCCAGTAAAGCTTTCACTCCATCGTCTTTTGGCTTCTACATTTCAACTGAGACGTCATCGATAAATATCACTGTTGCTTCTTTCAAAGTAATATGTCTTTTTTATCCCTTTGGCTATTTTAAGACCATTTTTTTGTCTTTGGATTTCTTTCTCAATGTGTCCAGGTGTGAGTTTTTTGTATTTACCTTGCTAAATAGCCTTAAATACTTTTGTATCTATGGGTTATTACCTTTCATCAGTTTAAAGTTATTGGCCACTAGATCTTTAAATATTTCACTACCCCTATTTATTCCCTCCTAAAATTCAAACCACTTATTCACCACATCCCTTACGTTTACTGCTTCACTTTTCCTATTTTTACCTTTTTATCCCCTCTCTGAAAATGATGCATTGTTCCACTTTTATTTTTTATTATTTAAAAAAAAATTTTTTTAGGTTTTTGCCATAGGGTGTATGCACTTACCAGAGAGAGACAGAGAATGAAAGTGAGAAATCACTCCCCTGGGGGATGGCCACACCACAATCCCTTCTCATCCATTTTCCTCTCAGGGATTGGGGACACAGACACACACACACACACACACACACACACACACACACACACGTGTCCAGCATGATTTTCAAGCCACCAACTACATTTGACTGGTGGCTTCCCCAGGCAGGAGCTGGAGTGTTCCCTCCCTGGGACTAGGCACTTTGCATAAGACTAGAGGGACGCCTGCCTCCAAGCTCCCTTCTTACAATCAGGGTGGAATCAGAGTCAACCTCTGTACCATTTACTTTATTAATGTTCATGTATTTATTTCTTTCATGACAAAGAAGCACACAAAGAGAAAGACAGAGAAACAGAGACAGGCATCACTAAAAGGGTCTTCCTACCATGATCCACCCTAAGTCTCAGCTGGCTTGGATCATGGGCAGGGAAGTCCTGAGATGCGAACCTGGGAAGTTTCCCATGTGGGTCCAGGTACATTACAACTGCACAACCACTCTACTCCTCTGCCTTACTTTAGAAAGCCCTTTGGGGAAAGGTCTGACCCCAAATATTAGCACTATTTTAGAACAAGGGGTAGTTTTCAGTTTTGCCAGCTTCAGGGCAACACAAAAAGTTTCACTTGTCCTGTAACACATGTCTTATTTTATAGTAAAGTATATAAAGTATGTATGTGTGCACTTTGATTTTTATATAAAAATTGAGGTCTAAGGCAATGTTACAATTGGCTGATGGGTGAGGATGTTTCTGGGGAGCAACCAGGGCCATCATGTAGGCAAGACACTCCTACTCCATTTGCATCACCTAGTGATCAAGAT